CCATCAGGGCGGTGAAGTCACCTCTTTGCAGTTCAGGGCGAGGAAGGCAGGGTGATGCACGGCTCTCCGGGGTTTTGTTGCCCTCGGGTTGCAGATGTCTTCAAGGACTGAGACCGGAGGCAGATGCAGGGACATGCTGGGCGAGAGAGAGGTTTGGGTTCCCCGCCTGCGCAAAGCGCTCCGTTGTTCACGGCCTGGCCGCAGGCGTTCGCCGCGAAAGACCTCAACTCTGCAACAACGAGCCTGGATCCTGCGACAGGTGTTCCACGATATCGTCCCATCCAGGGCCGAACCCGATAGATTCCATGTCATGTGGAGTTCTCTGCGACCAGCTGCTCTTCCACGGACTTTCGTGCGAACATGGTCCACATTCGTCTACCGTCTACGACCACGAGGATTTGTGTATACCTCGATGCCCCTCTCAAGGCATCTTGTAAACTGGATCCGGAGACCCTGGTCCGGGCCTCGTCTCGAAGGAACATGTAAACAATCCCGGTGTGAGGCCCGCATTTCCGAAGCTTTGCTCTTACACTCTAACAGTCCGACACCCCAAACTTCACATAGGCCAAGGCACAGGTAGGAGGCAATCCAGGTGATGGAGGTGATGAAGCCTTGGGCTTCAACCTCCCTCCACATTGCAAAACCCTATTAGGAAATCAACTAGACTGCAGAGATCGACAACAGTGACAAGATTCCGCATTCCAAGCCTCTGTACGCCTCTTCCGCGGAGGACGATGATAGCTGGCGAGCAACCGGCCACACTGGCAGCGCAGCCCACCGGGGAGTTGTTGGGGCACTCCAGGCCGTCGTAGTCAATGGCCTCAAGAGCTTTCAAGAACTCTCTTGGGGCCAGGACCAGGACATCCTTGATCCTCCATTCTGCCTTTCTGCTCCAGGGGATTGGGTGCGTGGGCCCTCTTCGCCGGACCCTCAAACCACCGAGCACTGTCAGGACTTGCTAGGTGAAAGAAAGATGTACCAGAAGTGCGTGCACACATACAAAGAGATGGATTAGTGATTCGTGCTTAGGGCACAGAACTGCCCTGTCTCAACCTCCAGACAATAAGTCAGACTCAGCTCGTTGCGGCACAGAGCTCCGGAAACTCCCAACTTTGGCCTGCGACACGGTCCCGTAACCCTTCTTCCTGCCTTGTAGAGGAAGACGACGGCTTGAGCAAGGTAGGCCGCAGCCTACACAAGGTCGCAGCTGGGCGTGCACTCCAACAAACTTGCCCAAGCCGCACTGGGACGGCTCTCCGTTGGTGCGGCTCTTCGCTCGACCCTTGACACTGCATGTCCTTCCAATCCTGGACGACCCTTTACCTCAGTTTTTGCTCTAACCTCTAACCGTCCCAATTTCCCCAACCCCCTATTGGAAAGCTGATCAATGCCATCTGTCCGAAGGAGAATTCACGGTTGACGAGACTCCTGAACAGTGTCGATCACGCACTCGGTCCGGATCCAGGGCAGTTCCTCAGCATGAATGGCAAAAGTCTCCCATGGCAGGATGCCAATGAAGGTCCGGACTACGGTGACCATAGACTCCGAGGAGTTAGATCTCAAGTCCTTCTGATTATCGCTCTCGCGGTTGCTGACTCCGTTATTCCTCATGCCTTCACTGATGCCACTGATGTTGGTATTCTTGTCGTGATGTCATGGTCACGGTAGGGACTTTTCCTCAAACTCTTCTCCCAAAATCCTCAACACACTCGCCTTCACCCCTGAACCTTTGAAATCTCTGCCTTCTACAAATGATCAACAACAGATTCCGAGCATCACACACTGACAGAAATGGGTCGCTCAGGGGTGCGATCCGCAAGTCACATTTACACACAGGATGACAGACCTCAAAAGCCACACCCACAGGGCAACAGGATTCGTACACCCGCCCACCCCGTTTGGGGAAGGAGTTCGAGAACTTCGGGGCCAGGGGAATCTCGTTTTCCAAACCTCCCACACCCCGAAACGCCAAATCTCCAATTGAAACCCAAGTAGCCTCCGGCTGGGAGTCGTAGAACCTCGGGGTGGCAGCTGCGAAGGCCCGGGCATGCTCTGTGCTTCGTGGCGTGCGGTGTGTCCCGGGCAGCTGACAGCCTTGAGCGTAGGCGTAGGCCCTCAACCCGACCCCAACTTCTCTTTGAGGCTTCGGGAGTGCTCCGCCGAGTCACAGGTCTTGCAGGTTGCGCAAGGGCTTGTCCATCTTCAGGGCCTGGGCCTTGTGGATGACCTGTCTCGAGGCTTAGCGGCTTTGCTCGTGCACGCACCACCGCTTGGAAACCAACACAGAGGCACACTTTGATGCTGAGTCCAGATGCTCTGCTCAGAAACGAGACAAAAAGGGATGTTCAAGAGCTCGGAGTACGAGACACAGAGACATGTATATTTGTATATTATATTCTATCATATATATATATATATAAATAAATAAATAATTATATTATTATATTATAACGTAATGAAACAGTTTATATGCTACGACCCAGAGCCTGGTCCATTCCTGGAAGCTCCTCCCAGTTCTCGATCTCATCCAGTGTCTTGGACTTGGAGAGCGAGGAGTGGGACACCTCCGGGGCCGCGGTCTGTGTTTAAAGTGACCAACCACAGCTCTGGCTAGGGGGCCTTCCTGCACATTCATTCATACTCTGTTATGCACGTTTTTGCCGGCATGGGGTCGAGTAACATGAGGGGCGGCGAGGGGGATGAGAACGACTGATTGCCTCTGCGCACGGTTTTTCGATGGCAAAGTGATGCTGGCACGTTTCTGTAACTGCACCCGGGTTGTCGTTGGCAAAATCGCTTAAGCTCGCCGCACTTCGGGGTTGGCGTTTCGTCGTAGGCGCATCTTTGGGCAGAAATGGTGACAATGCCACCTGAGCCATTGCAGTTCTCATGCAAATAAGCTCGAAAGCCAAGCGAAGCGGTGGTTATCGATTCAATTCGCCCACCCTCTTAATTATTGGTCCTGATAAATTATTCATTTTCACAGAGAGATCATGTCGTCATCCCAAACGTGTTTCATGCCATAGTCTCTCTGTTTGCCCCAGCTTACCTTGCGAATCCAACGGTGCTAAAGCAAAAGCAGATTGTCGGGTGCTGTCTGTCGGAACGAGGTGCTCTTGTTGGTCGCTAGTGCTCACAGCAAGTTGCATGCCTCCTAGCTTCCTAGGCCCTAGGCCATCAGCCCCCGCTCCTGAGCTCGTGCATCATCAACGGGAAACCGCAAAAAAGCCCAAAACAGCAAACTTCAGGAAATGTGAGTGCCGGTTACCCCACCGTCTCAGCCGTGTCGCCTTCCACACGCAAACCCTTGAATTCTGAACCTCGGGACCTGCCCCACGCCCAATCCCAATCTTGCCTCCCGTGGACCACGACAGGGATGAGACCACGACCATGTCTCTTGGTAGTTTAGGGGCGTAGGGGTCCTGAATCCGAAGACAAGCTGAAGCCTTGGCCACAACGCCCACCAGCGCCAATGCCGCCACGGCAGCACCTGCTGGCTGCAGCTGTCGGTCTAGGGCTAACCAATCTGAGATCAAGCGTTAGGATGCTGATTTCGAAGCGAAAAGGACGTGGCAAAAGCTAACAAGATCTAACATGATACGGCAAATCGTCGTAAGTCATGAATCTTACGCAACACTTAATGCCGATCCCTCGAAGTGCCGATCGGACTGACCCTTCCAAAAAACACTACGCTGGCGACCTTGTCCTTGAACAGCAGAATCGGATTTTGGCCGCTAGCAATTGCATGCTCTAGCTTTCGGATGTCTGGAGAAGAGCTGGCGCCTGCCATGTACCAACGCCCCTTGGGAGCACGCGGCTTCTCCATGAGGACAACCTGCGGGTCTACTTTCAAGGCTGATACGGTCTTGTATGTTTAACCACCTTTTCACATGATCCTGTTTTGCAACGTGAGAAGCTTTGTCGTGGCGAGGGTCCAACATGCACATCTTTTTCATGATAATATCGTCAGAAACACGGCTCGGTCTACAACTGCTGTCTAAGCGTTGCAGGTGCCAATTGAGGAATCAACTACCCCCAAACATCTGTAGCTCGGTGCAAGTCGCAAGAACACGAAGATTTTCGCAAACCACAGACCGACTGTGACGCCGACTCCTTCTGCAGATGCTTAGGGCCGACACTACAAGCTTGGAATGTGCACCAGCTCTGCCAGTACGAAGCCCTGTGAGTTTGTGGATCTTCGGGCATCCGACCCCCAGACCCGACCTCAACGAATCAATTTTAGATAAGCCAAGTGCATGAAACGTTTGCCTTGTTGCGTCCGAAAGGCTGTTACCTCTTTGCTTTACGACCCCAGCCCTGAAACATTCGTAAGCCTGAAGTGCCCAAACTTGGATCGACATGGACCTCCTCCTCGGAAAGAGCACCGTGAGTGAATGCCATGGTAGGACAGGAAGGCGAGGAAAAGGACGGGGGGCGAGAATCCAGCCTACGTGCTGCAACGCTTACAGAAAGTCGCCGGGCGGACGGCCAGCCATTCAAGGTCGGATGTCTTCGGCGAATGTGCAATAATATATATATATATATATATCTTATCCGAATCTTCCCGCGCTTCGGGTCTAAGGTTTGGATTCAAGGCCAAGTCTTCTGGACCAGGGCTTGTGGGGTCGTGTTGCTCGAAACTGACACAGATTGCAACAGCTAGATGGATAAACAAGACCTGAACCACAAGGGTTATATAAGGGTTGAAAGATGTTGACAATTGAAAGTGAAAGGTTTAAGAGCCCCAAGAACGCGAAGCCTCACATCGCCAGAAAATTAACGCCTCGGTTTCGATCATACGGCTTGGCACGACACTTGATTCTGCAGCTCAGTAAGGCAGAACGTCAAGGCACGTACGACAGGGAACTACAGGCTTGATCTAGTATGCTGTAACATACTTGGCCTCTTTCCGAAATTGGCCTGGAGCTCTCGGCAAGGGTGTCTACGTGCCTGGAGCTTCAACGCATGAGATCCCTGAAGCCCCCGTCCCTCCAACCCTAATGGTTGGCGATGCAACCGCTCAACATCGGTTCGCTTGTTAAGCCACTACGTCACTACGTGGTGGGATTCGTGGCAAACTGAAGCCTTCTGAGGCCCAATGTAGCATAACTTGGCTTCAGGCTTTAGGTGCTTCTTCCCACCCGTAACAGCCGTAGACCCGAGCAGGAAGAGGCGAGGTCAGGCCTTCGCTTGCAGCAGGACCCCCGTAAAGCAAGGGCCTCGATATTTCGGGCGAGGCACCGCACGGGTGTTGGGGCTTGGGGCCGTCGGATTTGAGAGACGGGGTCTTGCCAGCAATCGTTTTGTCTTCAAACTGTCGCCTCTGACACCCATGCCACAGTTTGGACATGTTGTCACACTGCCGAGACTGCCTCTTTTCAGCGTTACGATTTCGGAGAGACCCAGCAGTGGGTGTATACAAGATGGATGTAAACAACTGCTCATCAGGTATGGACGGTATGGACGATGCCTAAGCTTCCACAAGGGACAACACTGTACCGAATGCTGAATCTAGAAGCGACTGTCCCCCATCTATCCACGGTCGCCCGACGGTGCTGTGCGGCTCCATGCCCAAGAATCGTCCACAGAGTCTGCCCTTCCTGCTGCCTAGCCTATCATGGCAGGATGGAAATTACCCTCCTGGCCACGATGCATCAGTCGCCGGACTTGACACGAGAAAGCATGGTACACACTACAGCGCCGGTGGGCCGAGTGTGTTCCAGAAAAACCGATGGATTCACCACGCGAGCTTTGTGCATCTTCATGTTGAGGGAGTCGAGATCCACGAAGCACGGAGCCCTTCGGCTCGACGTGCTTTTCTTCGGCTTCCGGGCCGAACAGCTCCGGAAACGCCACGCAGTACGCTGGTTACCACATGCTGTCGCCTTTCCCTCTGCCCCGGCTGCCCTCTTTGGGGTCTGGCCGGCTGTGGAAGACATCGATGAGGTCGCCTGACACAGACAAGGATGTTAGGGTCTACGGTGTGTGTGCCTTGGTCAAAGAGATTTCAGCTTCCGATGTCGCATCCAGGGGGGGTGCAGTTTCCATTATGAGCCTAGTCGAACCAGGCTGCGACAAGCGACATTCCCAACGCATGACATTTGGTCATCGGATCGATACTGTATCGGATCGATGTAGATATGGCGGGGCAACATGTTGCGTCCGGTCGTGCTCTATCACGGCCACCACTGCTCGTAGTGACCAGCATGAAGTGCACACCCTTTCAGATCCTGGTGCCTGCTAACCTATGCAGTCCCAGAGTCGAAACGTGTTGAATCTCAACCCCAAACTTTTGCCACAAACCTAGCGCCCGAAACGAGCCAACGATCACGTTCAGCCCAAAGCCTCTTCCCTGGAAGCCCGAACGCTTTGCTCAAGTCCCTCAACCCCCGAAATCCTCGAGCCCTAACACCTCGGGTCGACTCCCAAGCCCCGCCCCAGCCGCACCCTGCTCGGGCTGGCCTAACAGTCTGCCTGTGCGGAGAGTCAGCCAAACCTGGTATTTGGAAAGTCTCGGTTTGGGGTTTTAGGGTTCAGGGGAGCCTTGTTATGGCCTTCAGGATGGGAGGTAAAATGAATAGAACTTCCCGTCTCAGGGTTGTTACTTACCCCAAGCCCCGACGCCAGTTTATCGGACCTTTGGTCTAGGGCCTTAGCCAACTGACACGTTTGTAACTGTCACTGCTGAAGGCTCCGCTCGAAGCGACTCATCGAAGCCAGATATAGGACCGAGTACACCATGTAGGGCTTTATGGGTAGTTCTCTTAATTGGGGTCCCTTTCTAGGTCCCCAATATAGTACGGCACCATATGGCACCATTATAAACAGGACCCTACAAGGGATCCTAATTTGGGGAACTGCCCTTCTGGTTCCTGAATTTTGGACTGCCGGCTGTAGTGTCCCTAAACCCCTAAACCCTAAACCCTAAACCCTAACAGAGCCCGTCACAAAATAGACCGAGGCTGCAGCGCCCTGCGCCGTGCCGCGCTCCTGCTCGACCGGCAAGTGTCTGAAGGCTTAGGGTTTGGGTACAGTGTAGATGATATCTTACAGTATATTGTCGTATGTCATCAAATAAACTACTGTAAGTTTTTAAAATATCATAGTTTCGGGTTTAGCGGCGGTGTAGGATTCATCCCTTCGGGGTTGGCCTGCTAGGACTTCGTCTTCGAAGATTTGTCATGTGCTTGTTTTCGGGGTTCTGGGGTCAGGGTTTAGGAAGAGAAGGGGGAAGTCGGGGACTTTCGGCGAGAGTGACAGGTTCGGGGGGCAAAGGACGCGGTTGTCAAGTTTGGGTCTACGTTAGGGAGATCTATGTGTGGTAGATTCCTGTGGCTTGAGCCCCAAACTCCAACAACCGCGCCGTAATGTGCATGAGGGCAAGAACCTGCATCCCTTCCGTATGCCTTTTCAAGCAGCTGCGACGTACGTAATCTTCAGACCGCAAAGTGACAGTGTGTTTCAGTGATTTCGCAGACTTGGTGCCGCATGTCCAAAGGTATGACAGCCCTCCTTCGCTGACACCCGCAGAACCGTCCATTGTCAACGTCTCCGGATCTGCCCAGCCCCTCGAAGCAGCACCTTCCCGAGAAATGAAGGCCCAGGCCTCAACGCTGAATCACGACTCCCCAGCATGGGTGCGCCAGCGACCCACCCCCCGAGGTCCTTGTCTACTTCGGTCAAGAGAACGACAGGCAGATAGCGCTGGCACCGGAATTGGATTTGAAGTTCTACATAGAACAGGCTCAAGCGTGAAGGAGGACATGGGCCATGCAATGGGATACTTTGCGAAAGAATCCATACTTACGGAACCTATCCCAGGGACCTGGGAAAGCCTGTGTCCATCACTGCTCAAAGACCCTCGCAACCGAAGCGCTTGCCCGACGAAAGGGCTCATCATGATTGAAACACAAGCATCCTTTTGGTACATTCTTGCGGGGCGCCGTGTCTGAGTACGCAAACGCCCTCCTGAACGTACGGCAAGGTGGTGAGTAAGCTGCAACGGGATCCGTGGTCTTTCCGGTGAGGCCGGCATTTTCCTGAAGTCGCTCCTTGGGTAGGACACTTGAGCATATTGTAGTATATTATGGTACATAATGGTATACTACAGTATTTTGTGGTATATTATAGTATATTGTAGTATATTATAGTTTTTACAGTATATTATGATATACTATCGTATATTATGGTATATTTTAGTATATTATAGTGCGAGTACATTATAGTATGTTATGGTATACTCTAGTATACTATTATAGTATATTATGGTATATTACAGTATATCATACTATATTAAGATCCCTAGCCATCCCCCATCCCTCAAACGCGGTGGGCAGCGCCAGGCGCTCTCGTCGAGGGTAATCTGCCGGGATGCGCTCCTGGATGCAAGTATTAAAATATACTATGTAATATAGCCTAATACAATGATATACTGAATATACTATAATATACCACTGTAATATACTATAGTATACCATAATACATAGTATACTATAAAATACTACTACAACATACTATCAAGTACCATAATACTATCATTACTATAATATGCTATAATATACTATAATATACTATAATATACTCTGCCAATGTGCGCTTCGCTGGCAAGCCATACTGGTGAAAAAAGTCATGATATAGTGACATTGAACGTTCGCGATAGGAATCCGAATCTGGTCCCTCCCTGACCCTCTGGGCCTGGAGGCCCACGCGCTTCAGCGCGACCGAGCCGCCCTCGCCGAAGAAACTGCGCAGGAAGCCGGGACGAGACGAAAGAGACTCGGGGCTCAGTGTGGGCTCGGGCACGTAGGCTTTGTCGTGGCTTTGCAGTTTTAAAACGTCCTTGTTGATGAGATTTCCACAACTCCACGTGGTTCGTGATTTCCAGAAAACTCAAGCAGGAACTCATCCCACGCCTGGCAGGGTCTCCGAGCAGGACGTCGCCAGCACGGACATCGGCCTTCAGTGTCGAGCTTGTCTGGAGAAGTGCTGAGCGCTGCCCTTAATGAAGTTCTCTGAATTTTCTGGCAATTTTGGAAAGGCTAAAGTCCTGAGCCCCTGACCATTGCACCTCTTAGGGCCTGCAACCCTTGGGCCCTGTAGAAACGAGAACCCCAAGCCTGAAAGTAGTGCAAGGCCCCGTGCCGCGTCGATTGGCTCGGCCCAGTCGGATGTGCCTCTTTGCGAGTTTGGGGTATGTCTTCCATTGCGACTAGGGAGTTTCAGAAAATTAGGGTACCTTATTTTGGGGTCCTTATAATAGGGATCCTATTATTTAGGGTACTATATTAGGGTCCCCTATTTTCGAAAACCCCCACTACTCCTCAGCAGCGGCGGAGGCGAGGGCGCAGGGTTTTCGGGCGTTTGAAGTTGGAGGGTCTCACCGTCTTGTCTTGCAGCCGACACAATCTGAACAACGGTCTCCAAGCTTCAATTCTTCTATCTCCCATGCAGCCAAAAGCACAGAACCCAAAGTCCACGCACATTTTTCTCTAAGGGGGCATGGAAAAATATGAGCCGCCTCCTAACTTAGTGGATGCTCCCGGTCCGCGCTCTTCTTCATAGCAGGATAACAGCCGCCCTCCACATGTCCCTCCTCGAAGAAAAGTTCTGGCAAGTTGGGCACCAGAAAAGTCCAACGGTTCTGGGTTCGGGAAGATGTCTCCCTTGTGTCCGCGGCCTGAAGCACTGCCAACTGAGCTGCCGGAGCCCCATCCTCATGCTGCCGGGGTGGGAAGCTGAGGGGTTTCGGGTTTCGGGCTAAGTGTTTGTTTGGCTCTTGAGGTGGACGAACGTCTCACAGAGAAAGGAACCAACGGTATCTTTCGGGTGTGGGGCGTTGCCTTCAAGGGTCTCCCATCTCATCTCCATGCCGGGAGATTACACGGTGGGCTCTTTTTTTTAATGGTATTTCAACCCAACATTCACACAAGGGTACTGGAGTTACTAGGGACATCGTCGTTGTGAAAATAAGCCCGCAGCTTAACCAACAACATGCGGAATGTCCACTCAGGGCTCACACAAGCACCAACCTTGACGTGCCTTGAATCAGGGACTGCCGGAACAGCTCCACATTCGTCGTGTCCTTGCTCGGTGCGACACAGGCCAGTAAATTAACAGGGCACTGCACATCCTGAACAAGCTTCCACACCTCTCCTCCTCCTCCGGCTCAGAGGACTCCGCTGGCTCCCCTGACGAAGCCTCTGCGGCCCTGGCGCGAGCGCGAGCATTATTACGAATTCTGGCTCACGCACCCTGTTGGTCAGGGAAGTCCAACGGTCTTGGCACAAGAACTCTAGCGCTGCCACTTTCTCTCTGCAAGCTGGTGCATCCTGCATCCATCTTCACTTGCCACCAAAAGTAATGCCACGTCGACTCACCTAAACCCCAACCAGGGCACAGGGCTTGAAAGAACATGGGACGTGGCTTAAAGGCCTAAATTTGTAGCTCTCATGAGACGCTTCGGCATCATGAGAACCAGCTGCAATGCCAATGGGCTCGGCAATCTCTCACTCCAAGTTGCCCTCCTCCATCAAAGCCACAAGTGAGCGGCTGGAGGATTTGGCGCGCAAGAGAACCGCGGCAGATCCAAGGACGGTAGCACCAAGGGCTCCCAGCAGAGCTGAAGGAACGTGGAAGTTAAAGCCGGAAACTTCTGGTTTCTCCTGCAGAAACAATCTGGTGAGGGCTGTTTCCACCGGATCATCGGCTTTGCATACACCTCCCCCTATTGTGCTGGTGTAAGTCTCGGCAATGGTAGCTGCTTGGGCCACGGTGCCAATCGCGATTTGGATCTTGGCCACATACTGCTCGTAATTGGGGCCATCATTCAGCTTCTCCGGATCAGCGGCCTTTTCCGCACTTTGAGCCTGGATCTTTGCCACTGACTCCTTGGCCTCACCTTCGGTTTTAGACGCTTCAGCCGAAATCTGGCTCAAAGAGTCGACGCCCTTGCACATCTGTACCACCTGGATCTTGTAGTATTTCTTAAGTGCAGCCTTTGTTTCATCGTCGGCTGTCAACATCTGTGCTTTCCAGGTGCCCATACCAGCACTGATTGGCGCGATTTCCGTGGCTATGGCCATTACTTTCTGCTGCATCTGATCTGCAGTGGTTTGGATTGACGATGCCATGTCATCCAACTTGTCCGTGGTGAATTCGGCCACCGCAGTGAAGCACAAGGAGGCTGCCAGGACGCGCAACATGATCAGGAGCGCTGGTGTCAGAAAAGTTGCAGGCCGCAGGTGCACGAAGTGAGAGCCGAAGTGCTTGAACCATAGACGTGTGCAGAACAAAGACTGTCAGAAAGAGCAGGCTCAGGCGGGCTGCGGATTTCGGATGACCTTCTGGAAGTGGTTGCGTATCTTTTCGCGGATGAATTTACATGTGGATGTCGGCTGCATCCATGTATGTATGAATATGTCTGTACACATGTACATGCAGGCATGGGTATAGGTGTGCATGTATGTATGTATGCACCTACGTACGTACGCATGTGTGTATGTATGTGTGGGTAAGCAAGTACGCAAGTACCTACATACCCGCGTCGGCGCGTATGTGCATAAGCACGTAGGCACCTACATATGTAATCATGCATGGATAAATGTAGGTGGATGGACGGATGGACGGACGGACGGATTGACGGAAGGACGGAAGGACTGATGGACGGATGGATGGACGGATGGACGGATGGACGGACGGAGGGATGGAGGGATGGAGGGAT